TTCGATCCCTGGGTCGGGAGGATCTCCTGGAGGAGGAAATGGCACCCCACTCCAGTATTCTTGCCTGGAAAATCCCACGGACAGAGGAGCCTGGTGGACTATAGTCCAAAGGGTCGCAGAGAGTCGGGCATGACTGAAGTGACTTAGCATGCCCGCTTTCAGTTCTCCTTGAGCAGACTCTAGACGTTCTTTGACAAAGAGAATGACTGAGCTCTTCTTTGTCTCAGAGGCAGAAAAGGACACAGGACAGCTTAAAAAATTACCGGTTTAGGTTCTTAGATCTAGAGGCCTCAGAAATCAATCGAATCGCCTGCTTTTTGAAGAAAGCGTAGTTGAACAAGGCAAGGCATATCACAAAATGACCCGAGGTTATGGGCCACGCAGCTGCACCATTTGGGCTTGAACCCCGGGCTCCTCCTATTATCTTTTTTGGCTCTGGTTGATACTGTCAAAGTGTGTTTCTAGAAATAATGTTTCTTGTGTTTTGCTCACATGCTGTTTGAGTGGGGCACAGTTAGAGCGCTCTCCTAGTTACTGAATTATTCGGTTATGATATTTGAGCTCAACTGATATTTGCAATTCCCACGGAGAGATCAAGATGACAATGCATTTAAGGTCATGGATGTGACATCCAAGTTAGACTTTGAAGTTAGGCCTAGATTTGAATCAGTTCCTCCACCGCCTAGTTGGTTATTTGTAATTTTGCTGAGATTCCCTTTTCTCCCTTGTAAAATGGGAGGGTTGCTATGAAGAGTCTAATTTCGACCTAGTCCTGCAGGGGAACCCTCAGTTGGAACCAGTAAAACAGTAGGTGCTGCAAAAATGGGATTGCTACTGGTCCTCTTTGTTTTAGGTGGAATCTCCTTGTAAATGCTAAGGAGAGTTTCTTCTAGAAAAGTTTACCTGTTTATACATGTTCTAGTTAGTCTTGATGCGGGGTGACCGTCTTCTGAAGCCGATGGTCTCAACCTCACTGTTGTAGTGTTATTCACAGGTCTGCTGATTCGATGCATCTTTTTTGAGCAGCTTCTGTGTATGTATCAGGTACTATTCTAGTAACTAGGGAGACAGTAACAGAAAACAAAGTCCCTGCGTGCGTGGTGTGTATGCTCTAGTGAGAAAGATAGATAGTAATCAAACTTGCCAACTGACTGATTAACTTCTTTGTACCTTAGGAGAGAGGGTGAGGGAGAGGAACAGGGTTCTACTTGAAATAAAGTGGTCTAGCTGTTGTTCCCTTAAGCAGACCACTGAGTTAAGGTAAGAACCAAACCATCTGGGTGTCTTAGGAAATGATTTTTAAAGCAGAGGGAATATATCACACGAGTAAGTGCTTGAGGATGAATCAGTTTATTATATTTTTCTTTTTTTTTAAATGTGAAGACAATAAGACCTTGCATAAAATTTTATTTGTAATCTATTAACTTCTTGACCTAGTGCAACAAAAAATTTGTCCTACCAATATTTTTCTACATTTATTAATATTTATGTATATATAAAAGTTACAGTATACCTGAAATTCCTTTTTTTCCACTTAAGTGTTTTCCCCATGTTGTTTAATAGTTTTATAATAATTTTAATAATATCAGTTATTCCATCAGGGCTTCATGTAGACAAATTTTAAAAGATTATATGCCTGAAGATGTTTACTAAAGCATTATTGATAGTTCCAAATACTGAAAACAACTAAATGTATTTGTAACAGTATATTTAGATTGCTTCTGTTGTCTGAGTAGAGCTGTAATGACTATCTTTAAACATAGAATTTTCTTCCATTATTTATGTAGATTAATTTCTAGGATTGAGATATTTATATATTTTAAAAATATTGATACACATTATCAAATGACTTTCTAAAAGAATAATGGAATAGTAACATTTATCTTTGTCACTAGGAATATAAAAATATGTGAATAGCTCCATATGTTTTGCAGCATTGAGTATATATTTATTTAACACTGTTTTTACTACTTACCTAATTAGAAATTAAACTACTAATTAGCGAAACTTGGAACTTCAATAGTTTCTTTTATGTTTCATTCCTAATCATCATGTTGAACACAGTACCCCTAAAAGTATTTCTTCTTGGGCTAGTTGTCTATTTGTGAAGCAGACTTATTTCAAAGATTTTTAAAAGCAGTCACCATGGGTTTCTTATCTCGCATCATCTGGACACAGGATCTTTACGAGCCAGGGGTTTTCTAATCTGCACCTAACAGTGAACATTTCAAGTATTAAAATGAAAGCACTTATACCTCAATACATCTACTTTTAAGCTTTTTATTATGGAAATTTCAATAAATACCAACATTTTGCCAAACAAATTTCCTGTAACCACTACTAAACCACCTAGCCTTTTCTTTTGAGGGAATAATTTAAAAGCAAATCCTAAAAAATCATATCATCTCACCATTAAATACTTCAGCACACGTCATCTCCAACTGATAAACACCCTTTGTACTTCACAAAATTAACAGTTCCTTATTTTCATTTAAAACCCACATCCCAATTTCTAGTTTCTAGATGGTGTTATTCAGTTGCTTTGTTTGAATCAGGATCCAAGCAAGATCCTTTATGTACTGCCTATGCTTTATCCCTCAAAATTTTGAATTCTGTAACAATCCTCTCTTCCTCACTTTTTTGTAGCATTGATTCATTAAGAAACTGGAACCTATGTTCTGTAAAATGTCCCATAGTCTTGATTTGACTGGCTACTGCCTCATGATGAAGTTTACATTATTTGCTCTATCTTCATCTTACCCCGCCTTCTCCTGTATTTTTTGTAAATTGTTAATTTAGACCTAGAGACTTGATTCAGTTTAGGTTTAGTATTTAGGGGAGAATAGGTCATAGATACTGGCTGCTATGTACTTGTTGTTGAGTCATGTCTAGAGGTATGTAATGACTGGTTGACCTACTTTTGAAAAATGAAAGTGTTGCTTGCTCAGTCCTGTCTGACTCTTTATGACCCCATGGACTGTAGCCTGCTAAGCTCCTCTGACCATGGAATTCTCCAGGCAAGAATACTGGAGTAGGTTGTTATTCCCTTCTCCAGGGGATCTTCCTGACCCAGGGATCGAACCCAGGTTTCCTTTATTGCAGGCGGATTCTTTACCGTCTCAGCCACCAGGGACGCCTGACCTGCTTTCACTGATGCTAAGATTGACCACTGGCTGCAAGCAGTGTCAGCCTCACCCCTCCATTGTCAAGCTCCCTGTTGACGATCATTGCCTATCACCAGTGATCTCAGTTGTAAAATGGTGACTTTTCCATCACTCTATCAGCACTTATTAGATGGGATTATATAAACAGTAACACTTCATCATTAACTATTTAGTTACCTTGAAATACATCTCATACAGGAAAACTGAAAAAATGTTTTACTATGAATAAATGGTTTTACCATGAATAAATGCTTTTATAACCTTATTGAAAAAAGTTTAAAAGATTTTTGTAGCTCTTTTTAGAATACAGCCTATGTATAAATAAATTATACAGTCAAAAAACTGTGTTTTAAAGCCATTGAATGAATTATTGCCTTCTTTAGTCATGTTATCAATTTGATGTATGGTTAATTTGCTAAAACTTGATTAAAATTTTAGAGATTGATTTTTCTTTTTTTTTACATTTTATAAAACAATAATTGAAATCATATATCCAGTTTGGAACTCCTTGATTTAGTTATATTTTTCTGATACATGATTAGCAAATATTTTCCTCAGTTTCTCTTTGTCTTTGCTAATGATCCTTTTTGGTAAGTCATTCCTATATGTTTTTAATGTAGCTAAATTTATTAATCTTTAGCTTCCTTTTGAAATGTGAGCCAATTTTATCACAGTTTTCTATTCCCCAGTTAAAGAGGAGCCCATCCATTAAAAAACCGCATTCTTTGTCTCTTTAGGGCTGTGCTGGGCCTGCTCACCGAGAGGGCGGCTCTCCAGCTTTGGCAGGCGGGCTCGCCCCTGACCGCGGGGCGCGGGCTCCCCCCTGACCGCGGCTTCTCCTGTCCGGGGAGACGGGCTCGAGGGCGCTGAGGCTCCAGTAGGCGCAGCCCCGGGCTCTGGAGCGCAGGCTCCATGGTTGTGGCATACGGGCTCATTCCTTCCGTGACGCATGGGATCTTCCCAGACCAGGGCTCGAACCGTGTCTCCTGCCTTGGCAGGTGCAGTCTTTACACTGAGCCACCGAGGAAGCCCCCATCCGTTTCTAATTCACCTGTTTGTATGGTTTGAATTATTACATTTGGATTTTGCATCAATTTGGAAATTATTATTTAATATTGCTTTTTTTAAAAATATTAGGCACTTTTCTCCCCCCCCCCCCCCAGATACTGTTTTAGATACTGGGGATTATAAAGTGACCAGACCAAAAATACTTAGTTTCTTTCAGAGCAAAGATGCCAGTGAGAGAGAAAAGGCAACGAAAAAAAGATGCAGAGATAGATACAGGCTGCAGAGGTTCTCTCTGATTCGAGGACCTTTGAGTTGATTTCTGAAACGCGAGGCGGGGCTCGCCATATCAAGGCCTGGGAATGCAGAGGCCGATGGAGTACTTGGTGCAGAGGCGTTGAGGAGGAACAGACCTTGACGCTTATTAAATGCTTGCCCAAGTCAGGCAGGCTTCCCTGGTGGCTTAGTGGTAAAGAGGGGACGTGGGTTTGATGCCTGGGTCAGGAAGATCCCCTGGAGAAGGAAATGGCAGCCCACTCCAGTATTCTTGCCTGGAAAATCCCATGGACAGAGGAGCCTGGTGGGCTACAGCTCATGGAATTGCAAAGTCTCGGACACCATCTGGTGACAGAACAAACAACAGACATGAACCAGGCCCGATTCAGAAATCGCTGCACTGTCTCGTGGGTTTCTTCTAACAGGCCTTTGACGTAGGTGTCTGTTAGCACATTCTGAGCGTGGCAGAGTTTACGTCACTGCCCTCTTCTCCGTCTCTAACTTGGTTTAAGGCCTCAAACCGCAAGAGCAAACCCTTGCTTTCTCTCTCTCCAGGCTTTCACGAGAAGGACAAGAAGCCGTACTGCCGGAAGGACTTCCTGGGCATGTTCGCACCCAGGTGTGGCGGCTGCACCCGGCCAGTGCTGGAAAACTACCTTTCGGCCATGGGCACCGTCTGGCATCCAGAGTGCTTCGTGTGCAGGGTGGGCCTACTCCCTTGTCTTCTGCGTTTCGGGAGAGGCAGGGTTCTCCTTTCTGGGGTGCAGCTGGTAAGAGGGTTCACAGCTCAGGGCGAGAGTTTGACAGGGGCTTCTTAAAAGAAATACAAGTATTTCTCGGCCATGAGAAGGATGAAATAATGCCATTTGCAGCCACATGGGTGGGCCTAGAGATTGTCTTACTGGGTGAAGTCAGGCAGAGAAGGAGAAGTACATATTGTGACATCCTTCTGTGCGGAGTCTAAAGAGAAACAGGCTGCCGTCCATGGGGTCGCAAAGAGTCGGACACAACTTGGCAACTGAACAACAACAGAAAAAATGAATTTATTTACAAAGCAGAAACAAACTCACAGACTTAGTGAATTTATGCTTGCCGAGGAGGTGGGGAGGGTGAGCAGGAGGGAAAGTTAGGGAGTCTGGGATGGATATGCACACCCTGCTATACTGAAAATGGATAACCAACAAGGACCTACCGGATCACACGGGGAACTCTGCTCAGGGTTACGTGGCAGCCTGGATGGGAGGGGAGTTTGGGAGAAAATGGATACATGTTTATGTGTGGTTGCGTTCCTTTGCCGTCTACCTGACACCCTCACCGTCTTGTTCATCGGCTGTGCTCCAGTACAAAATTAAAAGTTTCTTTGGAAAAAGAAACACGAAACACCCCATCCACATGGGCATTTGCTCCTCTGGTTTGCAGAGGGGCGATATGCTAACCTCTGTGTGTCCACTGGTGGGAAACCGGCAGGGATTTCCAGGCTGAAATCTTGCTGACACTTTCCTTCTTGACATCCGCACCCCTGGTCTTTCTCTGCCCCCACCTCCCAGGACTGCTTTAGCGGTTTCTCTACCGGCTCCTTCTTCGAACTGGACGGGCGCCCCTTCTGTGAGCTGCACTACCATCAGCGCCGGGGGACCCTCTGCCGCGGGTGCGGACAGCCCATCACGGGCCGCTGCGTCAGCGCCATGGGCCACAAGTTCCACCCCGAGCACTTCGTGTGCGCCTTCTGCCTGACGCAGCTGTCCAAGGGGGTCTTCAAGGAGCAGAACGACAAGACCTACTGTCACGCCTGCTTCAGCAAGCTCTTCCCCGTGTGATCTCAGCTGAACCCACACGCGCCCTCTTCCGATCTGCGTGAAAATTTAAGCCAAGAGAGGCAAGCGTACATTTCTAGTTCCTGACTTTCTGCTCAGTAGGCTTAGAGAGAAAGCCAAGGTGATGGACAAGGAAGGGAGCGTCTAGAGGTGACGTGACTAGGCTTCCAGCTTGAAGTTTTGATCTCAAGCCTTTTTTTTTTTTTTTAACAATGCAGTTGAATTTTGATCTGGGGCCTGCTATCTAGGGCCTGGGCAGGTGTATTTTCACACGCACGCATTCGTTCCACTCCTGCCCTCCTCAGCTCTCTCCACTTTCACCTCTATTGATGGTCCTACAGGTCCATCTTCTCTGCTTGGCCGTAGGAACTGGGTCTTTTAAGCTACCCCCATTTCCCTGTGGCTGACTCTCCCACAGTCACTGCTGCGGGCTTTGTTCCTGCTTTTTTTAATAGGAGGATGATTGCTTTACGACACTGTGGTGGTCACTGTAGGGCTTTATTCTTGCTGTTAGGCATCATGTGTCACTCTTAAGTTCCCTGTCTTTCCCTTCAGTGTATTTCTCCTTTTCAAGAGAAAGTAGATTTTAACTGGAAAGCTTTGAATCCTGACATCACTGATAAATAAAGGAACTTGTGGCTTTAATGACTCAGTGTCATATTAGTTTGATAAATTTTCTGCTTCCCAAGTTATATGCTAGACACAATGTACAATTAAGTGTGTATCATACCCCTTGTTTACTTCCATACAATGGGCCCTTTTCTTTAAATCAGAAGAAATGAAAAGGAGGGACTTCTAGTCATTGACTTTTAATTTAGGCCTGTAGCTTTCACTTTATTTTTTTGCACTTAAGTGATTGATTAAAAGATGGCAAAGCTTCTTAAATTTTTTTTTCATTGCTTTGTTTACGTTTGGAGGAAAACAGTTTCCACTGGGCTGTTGTGAATTCACATTTGCATGTGCATGCATATCTCCAAACTCATAAAGTTGTATGTATTTGTTCAATTTTCTTGTATATCAACTATATCTCAATAAAGCTATTTTAAAAAGTGAAATGTGCATCTTTCTTCGACTTCACAGTTGTCACATGAAAACAAGCAGGATGGCTGTTCTTAGAGCATCTCTGAAGAAGGATGCTTTAAACCTCATTTCACCATTTTTCAGTTTGGATTAGGAAATCCAACCCCCGCCCCCCCCAAAAAAAAAAACAACTCCACTTAGTTATTTGTTCCTCTTAAAAATCTTATGAGTAAACGTGTAGAAAAGCTTGTCAGACTATTCAAGAGTCTGACTTTCTCAAGTTCTTCCTCAAGTCAATTTTAAAAGGAGTCATGCTTCCTCAAAAGAAATCTTGATACACTCTGTAACGTCTCTCTCTTACCATGATATTAAAAATAAACGTATAATTATTTGTTATGAAAAATTTTAAATCACTGAGGAAATCCCCTTCCCTGGAAGTATGTTTTTAAAATAGGACTGAATTTTTAAAATAGACGGAAGTCTTTCGAGTATTAATATGGGGACAGAACTTCTAGGAGGGCAGAAATGGATGAAATGATTCTTGCCAAGCTTTATCCTATTGCCCTTCTTTATTGGAGTGAATGATAAGGGGGATTTGAGGGTTAAAAGGAAGTGGTGACAGTGACATTCAACAAAATAGGAACTCCAAATGCACCCCAGCTGTGAGGGAGGCTGATGAGACAGGGAGCCAGCTGGCCTTTCGTCCTGTTTGGCTGGCTGAGTACCAGACTAAGCAAAATACATGTTCCGTTTCTAAACATCCTCTTGACTGCATATGACTCTGTGATGGTGTTTGCAGGTGGTAATATGGCAGTGTTCATGGTTGGTTTGGGGTTTGGCAAAAGCAACTTGGGGTTTTAACCAGAAAGAATGTTCAGGTGGTAACTTTTTTTTTTTTTTTTTTAAGGATTGGCTATTTTGAGATTTCTGTAGAACCTATGTATTTTAAAATGTCAAAGAAAAACCACAGTTTACTAAGGTGAAATTAAGAAGTGAAAATTTTTATTGTCATAATGAAAGTGGTTTTATATTTGTCCAAAAGGGGATTCTGTCTTCTGGACTAATGTTTTATCAACAAGGAAACCACTCAAAAGTTAAAAGTTCTCCTTTTTAAAAAAGTTAATACTTCTCTCATACTGATATGTACCTGTTTACTCAGTTCTGAGTAACTTGTAGATTTTATTTTATTAATTAAAAAAATTTTTTTGGCTGTGCCACGTGGCTTGCAGGACCTTCATTCCCCAACCAGGGATTGAACCCAAGCCTCCTGCAGTGAAAGTGCAGAGTCTTAACCACCAGACTGCCAGGGAAGTCTCCAAAATTTTGTTTTTATTTTTTGGCCCTGCCATGCAGCATGCAGAATCTTCATTTTCTGACCAGGGATTGAACCTGTACCTCCTGCAGTGGAAGCATGGAGTCTTAGCCACTGAACTGCCAGCGAAGTCCCCTTATAGCTTCTAAAAAATAAAACCTACTCTCAAAAGTCAGCGTTTTTCCTACCCATGAGGATATATATTTTTATAGAAGAATGTGCCATTGATTGAGAACTCTATTCTCAAGGAGGAATCACTCAGTTTGGCCAATGGTCCTTTGGAATAGAGTCCTCCAAGGTGATCCTTAGACAAAGACAACAATCATTTTTCCTACAAGTTCTAGCATGTAAACGTGTAGGGTGGCTACAGGGCATAAGCTCCCTGTTTGTGACCAGTGGAGGGAGACAGAGCGCTTTTCTCTAGCTTTGCAAGCAAAAGTCCTGAGATTCATCCTAACGGCACTAGCTTAGACCACATTAAAAAACAAAAAAAAATCACTCAGTCATCTCTGACTCTGCAACCTCAAGGGCTGTAGCCCGCCAGGCTCCTCTGTCCATGGGATTTCTCAGGCAAGAATACTCGAGTGGGTGGTCTTTCCCTTTTCCGGGGCCTGGGGGTGGGGTGGGGGTGGGGTCTTTCCAACCCAGCGACTGAACCCGTGTCTCCTACATTACTCTCAGATTCTTTACTGCCTGGGCCACCAGGGAAGCCCGCATAGCCACAGTGACTTTTGCTGGGGGAACTGTGCTATGCAGCCCGCCTTAAACCAAGCTAGATCATTTCCAGAGTTACGGTCAGGACTAAGTTTTTAAAAACACAAGGGCCCTGTGCAGATGTGGATACTTAAAAAATCTGGGGACTGGCCAAAAGAGGTCAATGAATCTTGACTCTGTATGAGTATATATGTTCAAGAGCAGAAGAGTTTCAAGGTAATACAGAAGCTAACCAAGCAGATCTTTTCGGTGCCCTGAGGGGACATGCCCGAGAACTTCACAGAACATAAAAGTGGAGGGGAGCTCGGAGTGAGGATGTGAGGGAAACACGTGGCGGATACTGACCTTCCTTGGGGCCTGGGTGGGAGGCAGGGGCGGGCACAGCATTAAGAAACATCCCAAGCAGCTTCAGTTTGAGAATCTGAGAAAGGAGATCTTCTACCTGAAATAATAGTGAGAAAGAGTGACAACTGTGTTTAGGGGCAAGCGTCGCAGGTGTATGTGTGTGTGTGTTCAGTCGCTCAGTCGAGTCCGACTCTCTGCGACCCCGTGGGCTGTAACTCACTGGGCTCCTCTGTCCAGGGAGCTTTTTAGGCAAGAATACTGGCTCTGTTAGTCACTCAGTTGTGTCTGATTCTTTGCGACCCCATGGACTGTAGCCTGCCAGGCTTTTCTGTCCATGGGATTCTCCAGGCAAGAACACTTGGAGAGGGTTGCCATGCCCTTCTCAATTGGATCTTCCCAACCTAGGGATAGAACCCAGGTCTCCTACATGGCAGGCAGATTCTTTACCCTTTGAGCTACAAGGGAAGCCCGTTAGGTGTCAGCAGGTCCTTAACAAGAACAGAGGTGGCAGTCATTAAAATAAGAGACAGAAAAAGTGACTACTTGCCCTCAAAATGCTGTGAGGTTAGTGTTCTTAGATAAAACTCTCCATCAGAGTGGCATGTGCGTGCTGAGAACCCAGAGGTCAAAGGGGAAATGGAAATCTACTGGGAGACACTGGATCAGCAGGGAAGAATCCTCAGACCAGTGCTGGAGCTTGAGCTGAGCTTGTTACAGATGTACAAGTTAGCCAGAAGGCAGCAGTGTCTCGAATCTGTTCTCAAATCTATACAGAGCGAGGTAAGTCAGAGGAGAAAAACAAATACCGTGTTTTAACACATATAGGTGGACTCTAGAAAAACGGCACTGATGAACGTATCTACAGGGCAGGAATAGAGATGCAGACATGGAGAACAGACGTGTGGCTCCGGGGGCGAAGGGCTGGGAGGGACGGACTGGGAGATTGGGCTGACGTACAAACACCACCACGTGTAAAATAGGGAGAACCTCTGTGGCACGGGCGTCAGCTCGGTGCTCTGTGATGGCCTCGGGGGGCGGGAGGGAGGTCTCAGAGGGAGGCTGTATGTGTATGCACACAACTGTGTCACTGTACAACAGGAAGTAGCACCACATATTAAAGCAATTACACTCAATAAAACAGGCGCTGAAACTCACGCTACGTGGGCTGCTGTGTCTAGGCCCCTCCGTAGAAGATGGCTAAATCTGTAATGTCGCTGTAATACTGTGTATTTGTAGTGAGAAAATGTTTTAAAAAACTTGGTGTGTTACTTGCAAACAAAAAAGAAAGACAATTTGGAAAATGATAGAAGAATTACATTTACCTTTATCCTGAAAATTGATACTTGAAGAAAATCAGGTTAAAAAGAGTTGAGGAAGAGAAGATAGCTATAGTAATTCTGAGAGGAGCTTGTAGGGACACTTTTTAACGTTGTGGAGGCTGAGGGCGAAGGTTCCATTATGTCCAATGACACTTGGAAAAGGTGAGTGTCCCTGGCTGCCTCTGCCGTCTTCAGACAGGAGTTCAGAGACACTGGAGGCCCAGAAATGAGGTGTGCTTTAGGTGTGCCTGTAAGGGGTGCTTAGAGGGGGAGATTTTCCTCAAATAACCTGA